AGGAGGCCACGAGATCGAATCCTTTTAGAGTTATTCTAGTCTAGAGGTCCTCTCAATATCCCCAAAATATGAGCTCAAAAGCGGTGAATCACTTCGAACGGATCCCTCGTTAGTTACTACTAGGTATTGGATTCAAACTTAATAATTTTGCACTAATACCTACTGATTCGTATTCTATAAATACCAGTTATCATTCATGTTAGACACAATCGGATTGCATACCTCAGTCAGAATACAACCCAATCAGACCGACACCCAATCGCTGATTGGGTTCTAGTCGGGCTGTACTGGTGCATATCTAAAATTAATTAGTCAAAAAAAGCCACGAAAGATTTATCATGGAATCAGCAATTATGTGTCGTGAATGGTCTGTCTTCAATTAGACGCAAACTACTTACCACTTACCGCTTACCGGTAAGTGGTACGTGGTGAAGATTACTATGCAAGAATAAATAATTAATAATTAAAATAATCATTTATTAGTGCTATACCGATAATTTTTCGATGATTACAACACTTACCACTTACCTGGTAAGTGGTAAGTGTGACACTCCTGGTATACGTCTATCAAATGAAAAAAAAAGATTTTTTTAGCATTTTCCAAGTAGTTTTTTTGTGTTAGAAAACGATCTTAGAAAATGTTTAATATATACAGTTATGTAGAGCCCTACCGAATCATATAAATATTTTAAAATACATTTTTCAATCACGGACACGTTTGTTTTCTATCCCCAAAAAAGCATAAAATTTCTTGAGTTTTGATAACTCTTTAAAAAAATTCCATTTTCGATGCGCTTTAATTTTGTATAAAATTATTTACGTATAACGTTTGAAATAATAGTGTTACGCACCTAGAAAAATATATTTACCCGTCCTGTATATCTATCTGATGGAAACCTCTCAGCTAGGTTTCTGTTCAGTTGAATTTAAAGATTTTTCTTTCTCTGAATTTCATATATAGAACTGTTCATCTACTTGAGAATAACTCAAATGTTATAGTGTCTCGAAACTCGAATCGACTAATGTTTCTTTGTTAGTAAAGATGTACAAATGGTGATAATCTTTCGAAGAACTCTTATGAATGAAAACAGCTTTTGATATTGAACCTTGATTAGTGTTATGTTCGATGTTGGACTATAAGGGCGAGTCCGAGTTCAACGTATAAAAGAACATAACGGACTATATATCCGACTAAGTGCCGGTCTATATCCTGACTGTTTATTCAACAAAAAAAATAACATGTATATATGTAAAAGAGAAAAACAAAGACTAGAACGAAGTGAGAAAGAAATAAACACAAGAATAGATGTCATGACCAACAACATATCATAACAATTAGCTATTGACTCTTTTTCATACTTTAGTGATCATACAAATATTTTCATATTCTTCAAATACATTGAAATTTCTTTGGATGTCCAAATGAATTTCACAAGTAAAAGGTATTTACTTCATAGACATCAAAGTAAAATTGTTCACTTGTTTCACAAGCAAAAATATTGATAGAAAAGTTTCTCTTTTCAAACAAGGATGTTTGATGTCGGTGATAAACATTGACAATCGTATTATACTTGGTTAATTATGCATTACATGTGGATTTATTTGCTCGAAAGCCTTTGTATAGTTTAATTGAAGACATTAGAAGGAAATTATAATTTGATCAGATTCGTTATAGAACCTTGTCTTGTGTTGTTGCAATGAATCTATTGAAAGATGTTTCACTTATTTGTACTCTGTACTTCAATAAATTTTTTTTTGGATGTGTTCGGGTGTGGGTGTGGGTGCGAATTTTGCTATTCACCCACACCCATATCCACATCCTGCACCCCACCCACACCCACACCCACAACCACACCGAACACCCCCAAAGTTTTCTTGGTGATAATGTTTTAAACAGAATACTGAAAGAAGTTTGAATATTTCATAAAAGGTTGATATTTTGAATAAATTCAATCATTCAAGTTGTTCATATCTTGCTATATTATCATAAAAAATGTTTTGTAAAATTCAT